AACCTGGTACACATTTTCTAGGTGCCTTTAAATTATACATTAACGTTAATAGACATTTTATATTAACGTTTGTTATAAAATTGAAGGCCCGATCTGCATAATTAATCAGTACTTAAATTGCCGAGGTGCCCTTTTCCCTTGGCGGTACTCATACGTATAATGTTTACTGTAATTAAATTTATCGCTATAATTTTGAATAATAATTAACCAATTTTTAACATGTTTTAGTCATAAAAGTAAAGCTTAAGAAAAAGGATTATTAAAGTAACTAGAACTATATAATCGAGCGAAATAAAATTCTTTTGGGGCCAAACTCGGTCAGGTGAAGGTTGGTGGATTGATTTGCAGATTTTATCTTTTACCACCCGCTTAAACTTAACCAGTCTTCAAATACTATGTGCACGTTCGATAGTTAGGCCACACCAACTTAAAACTATGTTTAACATGAACCCCCCCCCCCCTCTTGAGCCTCAAATATAGGGGGTAATTAACACCATTTAATATAAAAATCATATTAACTGTTCAAAAAAAAAATTTTTAGCCGATCAAAATCTCATGTTTTTTTTTACTCCCCCCTCCTGTTTTCATATAGAATCAAATTGGAATGGCCTTAATAGAATCAAAAATCGATTGAAAGTTAACCAAGTTGGTAACTAATCGATTGAATTGAAGTAATTAGTCGTTGAATGATTATCTATTTAACCCATATGATTGGTATCGCCACCAAAATTCTACGGACACGTGATCGCGCCAAAAAATCTTTTTTCGTTTAAGATAGGGCTAGGGTCTATGTTAAAGTTATAATTCTAATAATAAAATCATTCCGTAGAATTTTGGTCGATACTGTGCCGATTATCTTAACCGCATTAGCCTATTTTATTATCTGCTGGCTTAGCGGCTTACAACACTATTTCTGGTATTACAGTTATAGTAAACAATAATCTGCGGAAAAATACTCGAATACTGGAATGTCGATGAATATATATTATTTTAACTATATCGATATACAATGATTTAGTATTTCATTATTTACAAACGATGGTCCAAACAATATGTTAATTAAACCCCTCTCCATTGATTTTTTTTTGTTATAGTGATTTTATTTTCGGCATTGATCCTCACAATTGATCCATAAATAAGAAAAATAGTCCTTATGGGGAGATGGTTATACACAACCGTTTTTTTATGGTTTAGGAGAGAAAGAAATGATTTCAACTTAAAATCATTCATTGATTAAGTGTAACCAAGCCAAAATAATATATAAATATTCTTTCTATAATATAACAAGAATAGAATTTTATGTACATAGTTAGGAAGCTGATCTCCGATTCTAATGCATCTACAAATATCTATATAGAAAAGGAATTATTGCTTCGTAAATAAGTCATTTTAACTATATAGAAAAGGAATTATTTCTTCGTAAATAAGTCATTTAATAAAAAACAATGCCTCTTCAATTATTAACGATATTTCTCTTCATAACTTGGTTTTCATTCTTGTTGCTTCAGTACGTTATTGTAGATGCCCGTTTGATCGATGGTAGTGACAACAATGCTCTTTATCCGACCGCTGGAACCCCAGATCAACCTTTCTTAAGAACAATTAGTTCTCTGAATTTCAAGTAATCATTTGATCTATAATTCTCCATTTAATTTTATACATTCAATGCATTCAAATATCAATTGTTAATTTACAATTCAGTCAAAATTCTTCTCCTGTTACATCTCCCACTGATTTCCTTGGTTTAAACCCGAGCGGACCGACAACTATCAAATGTTCTGATAGAGTACCTTCTGGGCAATATCCTATGCCACGATGTATATCAAATGTGATTTCTAGTTATAATGATCAACTTTATAATGTTGACGAATTATCAAATCATCGTTCATTCAGAAGAACTAGCCATTTCGTAAGTTATACGTTAATTTTCGTTATTTACGTTAATTGTATTCATCATCTTTTTTATTTACTTATGATATATTATAGGCTACTTTCTTTGCCCATTATATTACATTCGATCTTGTTGCTTCAAAAACCACAAATCCAACTTTTCCTATGTTCTTACCAGCTGATGATCCTCTCTATAATCCAAATCCAAATACCACTATATCTCCATACCAACTTAGTGTACCTTTTTTACCTGTTAATCGGTCTGATGGTAATAATAACACTAATCCAAATCGAAATCCTCTTCTTAGTGGAATAAATAATGTCACCCCCTTTTTCGATCTTAATAATATTTATGGTATCAGTGATCAAGACGCGATGAACAGGCTTCGTGATATCTCAACAAATAGAGGAAAATTAAAGACGTCTATTGTCAAGGGAGAACAATTTCCTCCAAAAAATTCTGATGGTTCCTATATTTGGGGTTCGACTTCGGAACGTTCATATAGTATATTTACTTTGGCTAT